AATTAGCAGCAAAACTAAATGGGATAAGAAAAACAAAAGTATTTCAAATCTACTTCCTTTTTGAGTTTTCTATTTCATTCAATTTTGGAAATTTAACCAAATTTCTTTACTAAAAAGTCAAACAACACTTGCTAAGAAAGTTTCTCTGACTTTACTATAGAAAGCACAAATAATATAGTTCCTAATATTTATGAGCCTCTTTTGAGTGGCAAAAGCTTTTTCACAGTCAAAATCCAATACAGTAGGGTGGTTTTGCCTGTACTATAAAAATAAGAACTGAGCTCAAAGAGCTGACGTGACTTACCTCATAAGAGCACCCACACATAACAGCTGTAGGACCCATTTCCACATCCTCTGACTAGCAAGCCTCTCCTTATGGTATCATCACACTATGGCAGTGTCAGCAGCCATGTTGCACAGCACCTGAGGAGCCTGGGAAGAGCTCCCTGCTTCCCTAGCTGTTGCTATCTTGCACAAAGGGAGAAGGGCAGCATGATGCCAGGGCGTGGGGGCAGGTTTGTTCCTTTTTTATTCCTGCTTCATAGTTCTACACCTTCTGTACTGAGAATTGTATAAAAAATAATCAGTTCACAGCACGCTCGACACCATCTGCTGCACAACCTCCAATGTGGATGATAATAATTAAGCTTTAATGTGCTTGGGAATATTACACAATTTGTGAACTGTCTGGGGAGTATGTGTCCTCCACCTCTGTTTACCTTTGCTGTTTTCTTGATTCTGAATTAATTCCTTTTGTCTTCAGGTATGAAGAATAAAAATTGACCACTATATATCTATTCAGTTCAGAAGCTTGCACATTATTACTCAGTGTCTAAAAAGACTTATTTCACACCCCTTTGTTTGTTTGCTTGGTTTCTGAGGCAGGGTCTCCCTCCATGTATCTCCAACTGGCCTGGTACTCATTATGTAAACTAGGCTAGCTTCAGTCTCACAGAGATCCACCTGCCTCTGCCTCCTGAGTGCTGGGATTAAAGGTGTGTACTACCATGCCTGGCTCAATTCACATGCATTTTGGAGAATAAAAGACAAAATTATTGGGGGCTAGAGAGATGGCTCAGCAGCTAAGAACACTGGCTGTTCTTGCAGAAGACCCAGGTTCAAATCCCAGCACTCACATGGCAGCTAACAACTGTCTGTAACTCCAGTTCCAGGGGATCTGATGGCCTCTTCTGTCCTCCATGGGCGTTGCATGACATAGGTACACTTACATACATGCAGGCAATACACCCATACACATAAAAATAATAAATAAAATATTTTTTAAAAAGACAAAATTATTCTTTTTATTTTTTTAAATTTGTTTCATTTTATGTGTAAGAGTACATGCATGAATGTAAGTCCATCCGTGTTGTACAATGCCCATGAAGGCTAGAAGATGGAGTTAGATGTCATGGAACTGGAGATAAGGATGGTTGTTTGCTGCCATGTGGGTACTGGGAACCAGACCCAGGTCATAAGAATACCCATTGTTCTTAACTGCTGACCCATCTCTCCAGTCAAACGATTCTTTTATTTTTCATAATTTTTATTCCTGAGAACAGATGGAATGTTTTCATTCAGTCACAAGAACCAATCAGAAATGAACCTATTCTATACAACCTATAGTGTATGCCTAATTCATCATAGTTGTAAAAACTAGTGGTTAATATTTGAGAGGGAATATGGGCATGGCCTCTTTCCCCCTGTCAGTGGAGAAAGCACTTTCCTACCTCAGGACCTTTCTCCCCCTCTGGGGACCATACCTCTCTCCACTCATTAGGTCCATTCTTAGCATTTGCATGAAGAAATAAAGAGACCCGGTTCAGGACTATAGGACTCCCATTACATTTCCCAAGTTGGCTTTCATGTGGTGCTCCAGTTCTGAAAATAGCTTCTACCATTTTCCCATGTCTTCCTCCTCTTGGGAACCCTTGAAAGAATTCGCTTTATTCTTGCCATCCCCTTAAGTGCTGACCCTGATGACCTCACTCTTTGCTTTTGCTACCTCTTGACAATCTCCTCAAACACTGATTGCCCTTGTATAACTTTCCTCCCCTTCGCACACTCTTTCTTTCCTAATCACCTGGATGCCATGCTTTGACTGCAAGAATCACTCTTCCCTTTCTACTCCTGCCCAACGTTGCAACATTGTATACCCCTGCCATATACATCAGTAACTGTTGAACAGGAGGCCTAGAGCATCAGGTCCCCTTTCAGAGCTTAGTACCTCCGCTGGGAAAGTTTTCCATTAAGTGCAGAAAAATGGTACATACTACTTAATCTGATTATCCTTATTACTAAATTAGTTAAGATAGACAAAGCCCCTGGACTGTAACATACATAAAAACTTAAATATTAGCTAGCTGCTATAAGGAATGTTGCTCATACGGTAATCAGAGAGATAACATGATGAAATCAAATGTCCCTTAGCAACTAGAGCCAGGAGACATCCATGTTTCTCACAAATAGAGAGTTTTTTATTAGTTCTAGTCCCAGTTAGGTTTCTTCCCATCAAAAGTAATTTCCAGTATTAACTACAGCCTGGAGGAGCACACATAGCACAGAGAGCACTCAGACCAGAAGGAAGCAATCACAGTCACATCCTCCTACAAATGGAGAAAGCAGGCAGGGCAGGGATAACAAGGGCCTATAACAAGTCACATTCTGCAAAGCTTTTAAAGGATACAATTTTTCTGAAAAATTCAATGAGAGATTGCACTTAGAAAGATCAAGTGGATAAAAAGGCTCTGGGAAAACTAGGGACCCCATGCATGGATGCAGTGATGCAGTGCATACTGGTAAGAGGCAAGAAATGTGTGGGCACAAAAAAGGATGAGAAGAAGCTAAAGAAAGAGAATTTCAGAGTGGACAGGGGTGTAGGTCTGTCCTGATTTTCAATGAGAAGGTTGTAGAAATGAATACCTACATTACACTCTGCATAATTCGCAGTGCCATAAAAACAGGCGTATAATCAACTTTGGAGTCTATTTCTTATTCCAAACTATGGATTCCTTTATTTTTGACAAAAGTTTTTCTGACCCTTCCCTTCCCAGGTCCAGTTCCCCTCGGAGTTTCAAAGATTATAAAGACAGAGAAACTCCCAGAAGCATCAGTTTGGCCTTGATGGCTCACTAGCTGTGTTACCAGGTCTCACTCCATGTGCCTCCTTGTCCACAGAGTGGAGGCAACGCTACATCCAGTGAGTAGGACTAATAAATATCTAACATAAAAAGGACCATAGGACAGAACGGGACACACAGAAGGCATTGTACTCATTCTGTGGTCTCACAAAGTCCTTGGTTAGAAGCTGTTAGCATCACTGTTTCATGGAGACTGGAGCTACGTGCACCCTGTTAAATATTACAATCAAGGTTCTGACAACAAGAAACAACAAAAGGGACAGATACTACCTCTCTTAGGATGTGTTCTGCCTTGAAGCAACAGTTTGAGGGCAGCCTTGACCACATAGTGAGATCTTGTCTCAAAAATAAAAACAGAAGAATGTGTTATGCCTTGACCCCTATGGTTCGGTCCCCATGAACAGATTTAACAAGGCTCATTTTGTCTGGATTTGTTTTTCATTATGTTCCAGTTTACAAGAAATGAGCTGCTTGAAAAACTGGCTCATTCCTTTGATCTCCATGTTCCCTACACTGAATGTCAATCCAGGCCAGCCCAAAAAAGTTTTTAAAAAAAAAAAAAAAAAAAAAGGTGAACAAGCAAATGAATTTCACACTGACAAGAACGGCCCTAAACCCCAGACTGCTTGCTGAAACCAGCAGACTTCTGATTAACAAAACAAAATTAGTAGTGTTTTCATAACAGTTTACAGCTAAGTGCATCAGAAGTACTCTTTAAAGCAAATTTTGCCCACTATTATGTTGGAAATCTTGAAGTGATTTAACAGATTAATGCCACCATAGCCTTTTATCTGATTTTAAATTTTCTGTGAGCCTAAGTGTTCTGAGAAGATTGTGTGGTCTCTACACTAGTCTGTCTACATGCAGAAAAATTAACTGCTTCCATATCAACCACTGATTTTTCCATTACCAAATGAGAGATTCTAAAGGCCCAGGATGACGAGGATAAATCACTCGATTTCTTTTACTCCATTAACGTAGATATTTTATGTTCCACTGCCACAAAATCCAAGATGAACACCAGAAATAGCCTGTGAGAGTTGAAGAGTCTCATTTTAAAATGGCACCACAATTTATCCTATTTCTTACTGTACCATGAGTATTCCATTATTCATTAGAAGTATTTGTTTCTCAGGCAGCTATTACACAGCTTCTGTGAGCTTCCGCTTTCCAATGCAAGTTGCTGATTTAGAAGGATATCTTCCAGAGATAAGGTCACTTTGTGGAATTCCCACCTGTATGACCCCAGTGTGTTTGCATAAAGATAAATCTGCTCTATGACATTCCTGTCATGTTTGTTCAGTGAGCAAGTAATTTGCCGCTCTCATTACTCTAGGTACAAGGTACCTTGTGAAAATCAATCTTCTTTCTGCTTCATACATCACAGCATCCCCCAGTCAGCCAGTGATTCGGACTCTGAAACGAAGCTGTGAGGTAGAGACATGGATCTGTTTCAGCAGGCATATTGTCCAAAGGGGCTAATGAATGTTACACCTCACTGGGAGCCCCGTCCTGGGGCAACGGAAATGTTTGTGCACAAAGCAAAGATACTGTTTCGTACAAAGCTTTTCCAATACCAGAGAGAGGGAAGTCTTAATAGTAGAACAAACAAGTAGCTCGAGGGGGTGTAGCGCAGAGTGCTTTAGAAATATTAATCCACCATCTCTTTAGGCCACAAATCATTTTCTCCACCTCTTGACAGGCTGGATTTTGACTTTGAAAGACAATCCATTGCAGGATCCTGACTGGCTGTATTAGGCCAGCCTCTCCCCAGGGGAACACACCAACCCACAGCAGGAGATGAAAGCATGTCTGTGAGTGTGTTGGTGCTGGTTGCTGACTTATCACCAGTGTGCCCACCTCAACGTCACAGCAGAAATTCCAGAGGAGAAAGAAGCAGTGGGGCTGTTTTCATTCTTTACTATTTTCAAATCCACACAAGGGTAATTTGCTGGAATTATCATGCGATCTTACGCCAAAATCGATTTCTGAGGAAAAAAAAAACACTGTCAGCAAATATTTAATGAGTATCTATTATGCTCTATTCTGGGAGGGAATTGTAAATAATGTTGTAAACAGAAGAAATAAATATTCCCTTCATGGAACAGAAGCCTCTGGAGAGAGAAAATAAATGAATATCTAAATAAACCAATGTGACCATGTCAAGTTCTGTCATTACTGTGAAAACAAATACAAGGGTCACGGGACAAACAGTGATGGAGGGACCAGAAAGAAAAACAGAATTAGCTAGGCTGGTGAGGATGATTTATCCACAGCAGGATTAGATGGGTGGTGAGGATGTTTTAGCCACAGAAACCAGTTAAGAAAAAGAATTTTAAAAAGCAAAGCATACTGTGAGGAAAAGGAGTAATAACTGAAATGGGAGAAAGCATCTTGTTTTGGAGAATATTATTAGCAAGAGCCAGACCACACAGGCCTTGTGGTCTACAATGAAGAATTAGGGGATAGAGGGTGAGAAAATAGCTCAGTTAGTATATTGCTTGCTACATAAGCATGAGGACCTGAATTCTATCCCAGAAACCACATAAAAAAGGCCAGTTGGTGGTACATGTTTGTAATCCCAGAACCAAGGAAGTGGAGAGACCACAGCCTGGGCCTCACTGGTCAGGTTAGCCTAGTTGGTGAACTCCAGGCAAATAAGGGTCCTTTTCATAAAACAAAGTGAACAGCACCTGATGACAATACCCAAGGTTAACCTCTGGCTCCCACACACATGCGTACATATGCATGTATAACTACACACATAAACCCAAACAAAAAAGTTTGTGTTTATTCCAACTGTAGCACAAAGCAATTGGAAATCAGAAGTGGAGGAAACTTTGAAATAGCAAGGCAACCAACATATTTTGACCTATATTTTTGAAAGATCACATTAAAAGGTACTATTGCACAGATCAAGAATTAAACAGGGAGCTTGGGAGATGGTTACTCAGTGGGTAAAGATGCCTATCACCAAGCCTGATGACCTGAGGTCAATCCCACAAGGTAAAAAGACAGAACCAACTCCCACAAGTTGTCCTCTGACTTCTACATATGCACTGTGTGGCCAATGTATGCACTCATGTACACACAAAACAACATAAATGATGCACACAAATGAAATTTTAAACATTGAAGGAAGCTGATAAATTACATGCAGGTTCTGTAGCCAAGTTATGGTGATACCTTGACCTTTTGAAGCGTAACTGAAGGAAAGTCCATCATATTTGTTATATGTTTTAGAAATGAAGAGTTCACAGTATATCCAAAGACTTGAGGATAAAGTAGGTGAAGAGAAGAGTCAATGATACAGTCCAGATAGTTAATTTAAGGAACTCAGTGAAGATTGATGTCATTAGTGGGATGGAGATTGAATACAAATGAATAATTCTCTGCTGAGCATTCTAAATTTGAGAAGATGGACATCAAGATGTTGTTTAATGCTACAAACACAAATCTGGGGCTTAAAGGGAAGAGGACATACAAGCAATATTTAATGCCATGTGTCTAGAAGAGCTTCCTGGGGTAGCAGTACCAAAATGAAATACAAAACAACAGTTAAATGCGAATTCCTGACACAATGAACAATGCTCAGTACCAATATATCTAAAACATTGCATGGGACAAATAAATATGTGGTGTATAAGATATGGAACATATTATAGTTCAGATATTGAAAATTCAAATTTAATTGGCAATCCTATCCTTTTATTTTCTGACTCCCTAGACAATCCTAGTTCAGAGATCACAAGTTAAGAAAGTCCAAGGACCAAAGAAAGATTTTAGTGGTAGATCAGAGAAAATGAGTCCGTTAAGGAGAAAGGGAAGGAAGCTCTCAGGAGAGGGTAGCAGCACAGACTCTAAATGGTATCCTAACAAGGAAATGCTCAAATAGGGGTTAAATACGGTAAGGGACCATTACACTTAGCAACGTGGTAAAGTGGGAGGATCAGAAAATGGTGTGAATGGAAAAGAGGCTTGAGACAATGAGCAAGGACACACTATAATGTAACAAGTAACAATGGGGTGGCAGATATGAAGGGTCACGGTACTGGGGACACACAGAAAAATGCATATGTGTTGGTGTGAATGATCAGTTAGAGACAGAAATGGGCAGTTTCAGGATCAAAGCCCAGAAATCAAGCTCATGACAGGTAGGGTGAGACAGAGGAGACAATTATTTGACTTTGCCAGAAAGAAAATAGCAAATAGGAATGTAGTATATGTCGGTTACTAAGCTTATACATAACTCCATAGATATACATGAAAACATCCCACTTATATTCAAATATTTCCCTACATTTCAGTGTATAAAAACTGTCCATTTGGCCAACCAGATGGCTCAGTGGATAGAGACCCTTATGTTAAGCCCAATGACATAAGTTCAATCCCTGGACGAAGATAACAGGAAAATACTGACTCCTGAGGTTGTACCCTGGCCCACACACATGCCTGCCCTCACATACACATCATACACACGCATTCATATGCAAAAGAAATGTTTTTTAATGCTGCAAACACTAAAACAAATCTGTTTCACTGTTATCTCCTAATGTAAACAGCTACAGACATATTCAAATTCATTTGTTTCAAGCATTTTGATAGCTAAATGAATTCTTGCTAGATAAGTATTTAAGGGAAAATGTTGACATTTCAAGCAATGTTCTCATGTATCCCTTTATTTTTCATAAACATCAGAACTATAGAACAGCCTCTTCACTTTTACAAGGTCAAATTTAGATTCTTCTAAGAGGAAATCAGAATTCCCAGATAGCATTCCCATTATGCTGCACCATGGCATACATCATTAAATAGAAAAGGTTTTCTGACAGAGCCTGAAAGCAAACACTCCTGGCTCCAAAGGAGCAAAGGTCTGTTGCTGTGGGAACCACTCTTTGGATCTCCTGACCTTTGCACATGTTGCATTAATGTGGATATTTGCATTATATCTGCTCTAAAAAGAGGAATCAAGTACGCAGTGGTCTAGCTGTAATGCAGTTCAGCAGCAGACACAGGGCTACATTCTGGGAGACAACAAGAGAAATAATAAAGACATAATTTAATAAGTAACTTTAAAACATTCCTCTAGATAGCTATCATTCGGTCTTCCACCAGTTAGCAAAAAACCTGATGAAATCTGTAAATGAACACATTTTCTTGGTCTATAATACTTTAACTTCTGAATAAGAGAGTGATATGTAGTAAACACAATTCCCTGATCAATGAAAAGCTAAGCCTTATTGGCATGATACCTAAGTATCACTACAATTCACACTAAAATTTAACATTGTATCTTGGATATTTAAAGGAATTTCTCTTCTATACATATCTTGCACTGGAAGTCAACTTGATAACAACTTTAGAATTTATAAAACCTAGGCACGGGAAAATATCTCTACCATTTAACTAATATGTGTTTAATTGTCACTAACAACAAGACTGAACAGACCTCCTTCAGAAAATGGATATACAATTTAAACTTCCTACCTTCAATATGGTGTTTATCTTAGCCTTTCTACATGAACAGGAAGAGCACAACTATAGCAAAATCTAAGCTCCACTGAGACAGCAAGATGACTCAGCAGGTAAAGGTTTTTACTGCAGAGGCATGGTGACCTGAGATCAATTGCAGGAAGCCACATAACCCAGGGGAAAGAGAATCAGCTCCACAAAGTTGTTCTCTGATCTCCACTTGCATGCCATGGCATATGTACACCCACCCATATACATTCTGTACATACATACCCAATAATACTAAATGAAGTATTTGTTTTAAAATGTACTTAACACATCCTCATTAAAGAAGGAGAAGCATGAATGGATGGATGGATGGATGGATGGATGGATGGATGGATGGATGGGTAGATGAGTTGATGGAAGGATGCAAGAACCATGGGGATAACCATTCATTGAGGAAGTAAAAAGGAAATCAGAAATATGCTACTTTTTCCTATCATACTTATCAGGTGATTTAAAAAAAAATGTAGACAGGATTTTCAACCTCTAGCCACCCTTCCTAAAGTCACAAATCTGAGAAAAAATTTAACTCTTTTTCTAGAACCAATTTTTCCCTTTATCTTTCTGCCCTCTATCAAGAACCCATGCTTCTTCCTCAAGCTTCCCACTCATGGATTTAAAAACCAAAATTTTCTTCAAAATATTTGACCACTTCATAAACCAATTTCAATTTCAAAAGTGATATTTAATATTTACTTAAAGGTTCCAAGGTAAACCTAAAGGCAGTGGAGTAAAGAGCTGAAGAGTAGAGCTGGCAAAGGTCAATATTCCCAAGAATAATTCCACTCTACTTTTAAGCAATCTTAGCAGTCCAGGCCTCTGAACATAAATCAGGGTATCCCTCAGAGCAGATATTTTAGAGAATAAGTCTGTGCTACCCCATCTTTATACCCCAGGAGTCTACCACAGCACAGGCACATAGTAGGCACTCAATACATCTATGAATTGCATAAATGAACAAGCAACAGGCAACTGAGAAGGAAGAATTCAGCCAGTAAGTAAAGTAGTACGCAACTTGGTATGTCAGAGAAGAGATTACACGATTTCTCAAGTGCTTGGCTGGAAGTAGGGGTGACTCCTCTAAAAATAAAAGGATTGCCTTTGGAATAAGCGCTTTTTGAGACCAAAATCCACTCAGCAGCTAGAGAGAGAGAAGGAACACAGAGGGGGGAGAGAAGTCAGAGGGAAGAAGGAAGAAGGAAAGAAGAGGACGAAATACAACCATCAAAAGCATTGTGATGTCAACAGAATGGTACCTAAAATCTATGCCCATAGATGGCCAAAGGGCAGCCTGTTGCTTTTTCTTTTCCTTTTCTAGATATTTATTTAAAGCCTTAAGCATAGCCAAAGCTGAGCACGAATTGTACTCAGAGATTAATGAGTCTGGGGTTGAGAGTTAATAAAATTCTGGAATAAAAACTTAACAATGGCAGTCAAAAGCAAAACCTAAGCCAAGATCTAATTATATTAT